ACAGGGGCTGCAGCAGTGGGCAGGGGCACAGTGCCAGCCCCACACTCGGGCCATCGGGGACTGGGGCTTCAGGGCCGTCCTTACCAGGCACTCGCCAAATTTTAATGGCTGCTCTGTCTTCAGCAGCTGCTCGAGATCCTTCCTCTTCAGAAACCAGGCTGCACGAAGAAGCGCTTTCTGAGAGGCCTGTAGAGCAACAGAGTCCAGGAGATGGCACCACAGCCCACCACAGGACCTGTGTCCCTGGACCAAGGCCAGGAGGAGGTAGTCCAGCCTCCTGCCACGGGAACACCAGAGCCTAGAAAGTCCTCACCTGTGCCACTTTGCTGGTTCTCATCATGCCAGTAGAGGAAGAATGGGAACAGGTTCTGGACCACATGTATCTTCAAGGGCTTCTTTCCCTCATCCACTACCGACTTCATCACCTCTTGGAACAGGTGAATGGAGAGGATCTGCACATGGCTGTTGTCCTGATGGAAAAGAAGAGGAAGAAGTCTCAGCACTGGTTTCTACAGGCCTATCTGGCATTGGCTTGCAAATCCAAAAGGAGCAGTTTCCTGGCAGCACCCAGCACCCCTAAATGGGAGCACAAAACCTTACACTGTCAAAGAGTGGCCGCAGAGCCTCAGCCAGCTTCAGGGCAGTGGGGCTGGAGGTTAGGATGTCTTTGTTTTGCAGCATATTCAGGAATATTGGCAAGGCCAGCTCAACCAGCTCGACATCTGCATCCCACAGGAGCTGCACGAGACTTTCCGAGAGGCTGCACATTCTCTTGGCCTGTGAGGAACACAAGGCTGTGCTGGGAAGCCAGGAACGGCTGCAGAGCCAAGCCTGCTCGGGCAGGGCAGCCCCAGGTGCTGCCGCGGGCCTGAAGGCCAAAGGCTTGTCCTAAAGGACTCGGGCAGCTGAGCAGGGAGGCAGCAGAGCTGGGAGCAGCTGCCACAGCTCCCAAAGTGACTGCGTTGCCCTGCCCCAGGATTCCAGCACGGCTTCAGCCAACTGCCCTCTCCTCACCATCACAGGATCCTTGCTCAGCATTCCAAAGCCTTTGATCACCAGGCGACGCCTCTCCCCAAAAAATCCCAAATGGGAGAATCAATCCGACTGTCACTGGACGTGGAGTCAGTGCTGACAGTTGTTGTTGTAGTGTCAACCTCCGCAGTGAGATGAGGCAGTGCAGCGTCAGAGTTTGTGGCTTCATCGGTCAACACGGCGTCAGAGATTGCCATGCGATCAATCGATGGGGTGTCAGTGCTTGTTGTGTCATCAGTCTTATCAGTGTCAGACTTCATTCTTTGATCATTCCGTGTGGTGTCAGAGTTTCTTGTGTGATTATTCAACGCGTGGACAGACTTGCTTGTAAGATCAGTTGGCGCAGTGCCGACATCAGGCTTTGCCTTCATCTTAGTCAGCCTGGTGTCAGCCTGTGCCATGGCCGCAGCTTGTGAGGTCCTGGTCTTTCTACGCTGAATGCCCAGGAATTTCAGAAAGGCCTGCAGGAGAATGGAGAGCAGGGAAGAGGATGATGCGCCATGGAGAGCTCCATCAGCAGTGCCAGGTTGAGAAGGGACAGCAGGCCCAGCCCAGGAGGCGATGGCTGCAGGTACCTGTGCTGCCCTGTGGAAACGACCATGGGCACGGGCCTGTTTTTGTGTCCGGTCGTGGCCTGGATCTGGCAAAGAATCTAAGACAGCTGGACATGAACTTTAGACACAGCTCAAAAACTAAGCAACTTCTCCCAAGGAGCCCGTGCCAGCTTCTGTGGAGGCCCCATGCCCTTCCCGCTGCGGATGTGTCAGCAACTGAGGGGGCTCCTTCTGCTGCCGTGGGCAGGCACTGCAGGGGAAACTATGCTTAGGTTTTTCATAGTTTTACGGCAGTTTCTTTATCCTTGCTCCCTATAAAATCCCCTGCTATGCAGAGCAAACAGTGCGGACAGAAAGAGATACCACAGAATCGTGGAATATCCTGAACTGGGAAGGATCCACAAGGATCATCCAGTCCAACTCCTGGCTCTGCACAGGACACCCAACAATCCCACCCAATCCCTGAGGGTGTTGTCCAAACTCTCCTTGAGCTCTGGCAGCCTTGGGGCTTTGCCCACTGCCCTGGGGAGCCTGTTCAGTGTCAACCTCCCTCTGGGGGAAGAACCTTTCCCTGAGATCCAGCCTAACCTTCCCCTGACACAGCTGCAGTATATCTAAAATACAGCCTGCAATATAGACACAAAACAGGGTTCAATATGCATTCTACAAATCATCTATATCGCTGCTTATATCCTATGAAATAGCCCAGAATGTGTTCAAATGGCATTTACCAGCACATGTGCTATTTTGGAGGCGGAACCACGCCTCTGCCGTGGCCTTTCTGAGGCTTCGGTTCCCATCCCCAGTCCTTCCCACCTGTCCCCAAAATCAGGCTCATGAGCCCTATTTCTGACTGGAGAGGGGTTGAACATGTTTGCAGCCCAGTTTCAGACAAAGGAATTGATGGAAAATGGAGAGATTGTCACCAGATCTTCTCAAGTACTGGGACCACAGATGTAACCTCACAGTTTTAGGGCAGAGTTAACCCTAAGGAGGGGACTCGTTTTCAGCAAACCTTGGCTTGCTGACAGGATGAATTTGGTTTCCACAATCATCCTCACTCGAGGTCACAAAGCCTGACCCCAGCACTTCTCCCCACCTCCCATGCCCAGCACTGCCCCGAACACCATTGCCCAAATCATTTATTCCTCATGTGGACAGTTTCCCCAAGCTGTGCTCAAGAGCTGCACCACCTCACTCTAAAGTTGGGATGCCCCATCCAAGCCTGTTCCAAGTGTGCCAGGGTCACCCAGAGGTGCTCCCACCACCTGTGGGTTGGAACAAGGAAGGAATCGGGGTGCTCAGCCCCTCGATGTTTTGGTGGAAAGGAAGAGTGGTGTAAATCCGTGATCCATGAGAGGGCTTGGCTATGGAAAAATAACACTAAGGGGTGTTTGTGTTTGCTTTGGGATTTGCCCAGGGGAGAGCATCTTGGAGGAGGGCTCCAGGCCATGGCACCGCTGCTCTTCCGCCTCAGGCATCGCTTTTCCCAGCAAACTCCCTCCCATCCCTCTCCATCCCCACCGGCCTCATCGATCTCGACGGCTCCTGGTTGCCGTCAACTCCGTGCCAGCGTCGCGTTGACGTTCGGACATCCAAGAGGAGCACTGTCCTCACCTCTTGCTCCCATTCCCAATTCTCTCGTGTTTTCGGGAGGCGAGCAGGGGAGCAAAGCGGGCAGCAGCTGGTGGTGATGCCGGTGGGAGACCGACCCCCAGCACCAGCAGGGCTGGGGTCGGAGCATCCTAGAGTGCCACCATGGAACACATGGATTTGGGAAGGATTCCTCTGGAGGTGGGATAATGGAAATGGGTTTGGTAATTTTTATCTTGTAAACGACATCATTGTGGTTGTTGAACAGTTTTGTATTGTAAGTGATTTCTACGCTAAATATCGTGGAGTTGAAGCTTCAACTGTCACCATGTTGCAAGTGGTTGCCATGGACTACGCGCCAAGGAGCCAGTGTCAGCTGGGATTGGACGGTTCATGGCACCACAACAGCTCGACCAATCCTTGTTCTGCCCTGTTGCTGTCCTATTCCTTCATGCATATGCATCTACTCCCTACCTATCCTTGTGAGTGGATTTGCATGCTCCTCCTTCCTTCCAGTATTTTCCCTCCCTCCCTACCCCTATAAAACCCTCCATTTTGTTAATAAAGTTAGTTCAGCCTTGTGCTGCCCTCTGTTCCACACCTATCTTGTCTCCTTGCCTCTCACTACTGAGCTGCGTGAGTGAGCGAGAGTGTGTGAGCTTAGGCTGGCCGGTTGCTTCTTCGCATAATCATCTCACTGAAGAGCAACGAACCCTGGAGCTGGACTGCTCCTTTCCTTGACACACCGAACCGTGTCAGTGGGATGCCCTGGGGCTGCAACCCCACATCCCGATGCCATCCTCCTTCCCA